GGCCATGCGGCGTGCGTCGTCTTCGGGTCGGGTTTCTGCCACAGCCATCGCACGGTTCAGCTGAGTTGTCCTAAGTCGTAGTTATGCCCCTGATCTGGTCCACTACCTCGTTTGAAGGGTTCTGAAGTATGGGCCCTTGGGTTATGTAAGGTTTTTCATGGGTATAGAAGGGGTCCCTATAATATTTGGGGACCATATACCTACCCTAAGAGTGACAATCTGGAAATGGTCACGAGTCACCATGATCAAGGGGTTAAAGCTCGTACCCCTTACCAAAATTGTACCCCTAAACCCGAAACCCTCTAGACCCTAAACGTTAAACCCTAAACAGCCCTAAAGTTCCCTCCTAACATACTTCTACTATGACCCTTCCTAGGGGTCCGAGGAAGAGTCCCTTGATCAACTTAAATCTCCAGATCCCCTGAGACTCTAACAACCCTAAACCCTAAATCCTAAACCCTAAACCCTAAACCCTAAACCCTAAACCCTAAACCCTCCCTGCCTTCCTAGATCTCAGTAGGGAGTGCAAGTTGCGCAGTCTCCTAAAGGGTACTCTTACGGGGCAGATGAGCATCTGAAACATCGAGTCGAAGGCCGGAAACCCGGGTTTAGGGTTTAGGGTTTAGGGTTTAGGGTTTAGGGTTTAGGGTTTAGGGTTTGCACTAAACCCTAACTAAACCCAAAACCCTCAATAAGGAACGGGCGCCAAAGGGACCCAACACAGGGGGTAAAAAAGACCAAGTCCCCGAACTCCCCCTACTTTATGCCTTAGGAAGCAACCCTAAACCCTAAACCCTAAACCCTAAACCCTAAACCCTAAACCCAAACCCCTAAACCCTAAACCCTATAGGCAGCTGCCTTGCCAGCCCACCAGGCTCTTCACTTCAAGACGTTCTGGATGCACCGGAAGGGGACGTCTACTTTGTGGATGGCGGGGCCCGGAAAGGGGGTTTGCGCTAAACCCTAAACCCTAAACCCCAAACCCTAAACCCTAAACCCTGAACCCTGAACCCTAAACCCTAAACCCTAAACCCTCCACACCCTGGCCTCGAGTGGTTGCGCGAGGCCCTAGGCCCTAAACCCTAAACCCTAAACCCTAAACCCTAAACCCTAAACCCTAAACCCTAAACCCTAAACCCTAAACCCTAAACCCTTGCTTGGAACCGTTGGCTTTTCGGGAACTGGATATGGGTCATATCTCGGTCATGGGTTTGTACTTACAAGATGGGATGTTCCCCCCCCCCCCGGGTTTAGGATCCCTATTAAGGACAGTTCGTGCACGGGGGAACATCCCAACTTACAAGTGCTATATTTGGAGGGCTTCCTGAGCCCCCTTAGACAATGAGTTGTCTAGTCCCTTGCAAAGGTGGTTTAGGGTTTAGGGTTTAGGGTTAAGGGTTTAGGGTTTAGGGTTTAGGGTTTAGGGCGTTTAGGGTTTCGGGTTTAGGGAGAACGTAAACCGTAAGCCCAAAACCCTAAACTCTAAACCTTCAGCCGAACCCTCATCCCCCGAAACCATGAACCCTGATCCCCCCAAACCCTAAACCTTGCTCACCCCAAAAGTTGTTATTTCTAGTAGAACATCATATGAAATTAACCCTAAACCCTAAACCCTAAACCCTAAGCCCTAAGCCCTAAACCCTAAACCCTAAACCCTAAACCGCCCTAAGCCACAAGACCGGAGGTCTTGGCCGCTTGTTCCTGAAGTTCGTTGCTGCGTGGGCCTCGGGGCGATCTGGGGGTCAAGCCTAGAACTTCCAACGCAGTTAAGGGTTGGAGGGTTTAGGGTTTAGGGTTAGGCTTTGGGGTTTAGGGTTAGGGTTGTAGGGTTTAGGGTTTATGGTTGAGGGGTTTAGGGTTTAGGGTTTTTGGGGTTTGGGGTTTAGGGTTTTTGGGGTTTGGGGTTTGGGTTTTGGGGTTTAGGCCCTGTAAGGCCCTTTAGATGCGGATGTAAGAGTGTAAGGGTGTGGGGTTTAGGGTATGTAAGAGTGTATAGAAGTGTAAGGGTGTATGGGTGTAAGGGCGTAACGGCTTAGGCTTCGGATTTGTGAACGTCAGTTAGGGGTTTAAGCTTCGTGCCCTATCTGCACTCGGCATCTTTTGACAATTCAAACAACGTTCCTTCGGTAGGGTTTTGTTTTGCTGTGTTTTTTTGGGGGAGGGTCTTCAAGGTTGTAGGGCTTCTTCTTTTTTTTTGGGGGGGGGGGGGGGTTCTGTTTGGCTTCGGAGGTCCGGGGCTGTCCTACACAACTGGACATGGACCCTATGCGGGAGTTCTACACAGGTAGAACCCTAAACTTGTAGGGTTCCGGGAGGGGGGGGGGGGGGTGGGCACTGGGGACGCTTAGGGAGCCTTACAGAGTAGTGGGGAGTAGTCGGGAACCTGGGGTTCCATACCCCGCTTGAGCCCCCCCTCCCTTAAGAACCCGAAACCGAACAGATCTTACACTTCGTTGGAGCCCTTTTTGGTGTAGGGGGTAAAGGTAGAGGGGTAGACTTGCAGACTTGGGGGCAGGGGGTTAGGCTAAATGGGGGTTCAGGCATCAGGGTTTGGGGTCATTGGGGATGGATGGTTTGGGGTTTGGGGTTTGGGGTTTGGGGTTTAGGGTTTAGGGTTTAGGGTCATTTGGTATGGATGGTGTTTAAAGTTTGGGTTCTTTTGGAGGGCGGGCTTCTAGGGTAATTTCGGGCACAGCCTCGCCAAGCGCAGGACAACGGCAACCTAAACTGACCTTAAACCCTAAAGACCTTACATGTGGTGGGGTGGCACATGCAACAGACCGTTTTGGGTGCTTGTCTCTGTTGGAATGATGGTAGGGCAGTGCGCCACAAGCACTTGCCCTATATGTCACGGAGATTCGCGAGCTAACCACGGAGGCTGGACCTGGACCCTGAACCCTGAACCCTAAACCCTAAAAAGTCACCGGATGCAGGTATGCCAAACACCGCAGGCAGGACGTCTTCTGCTGCTACCTCGGTGAGTAGCATGGGAAGAACGGCTTGGATGGAGCCTTCGGTACTTGCAGGCTACTGGCTTCTGGCTGGAGAAAGCCGCACCTTTTTGGGGGGCTTCCCCTAGTAAGGATTATAGTATCTTGGGGTAGATTAGGGGTAACCCTATTCGGGGTACTTCTTTTTCGGGGGTTCCCCTAATAAGGATTCTAGGGTAGAGTAGGGGTACCCTTATTTGGGGAAATACCCATGTCACCCTACCCCCACAGGGCTGTACCCTGAGATCCTTGATCCTTGACCCCTATACCCCAGGCCCGAAACCCTAAACACTAACCCCCTAAACCCCTAAACCCCCTGTACCCTGAGATCCTTGATCATGGACCCGCATACCCAGCCCTAAACCCCAAACCCTAAACCCCAAACCCTAAACCCTAAACCTTGCGGGTCCAGGCAAACAACGGCTACTTCGAAGCTGCCGGCGTGTCGCAGCTGGTGGCTTGGCAGTTACTTTGCCAAGAGTTCGGGTTCAGGGTATGGGGTTTGGGGTTTGGGGTTTGGGGTGTATGTAGGGTTTAGGGTTTTGGGCTTAGGGTTGAACATTCCCCTTTCGGGATCGTGTTTTCTCCTGTTCTGTCGGTGTACTTGGGCTTAACCTTGAAGTTCCCTGGCAACCACATGCGGGTAATGCAAGAGTCTGAGGCAGGAGGTGAAATCAATCCTTGCTGTGGGGAGGAACCCCAATTTTCAACTCTAGGCTTATTCACCCTAGTGTTAGTGCGAATCGGTTTCGGGTTCAGGGTTTCTAAACCTTGGGATGTTCCCTCTTATACTAACAGTTTTTGATTGCGATTAGAATAGGGGGTACTATAGCCCCTATCAAGTAAGGGGGGACATCCCAAGGTTAAACCCTAAACCCTAAACCCTAAACCCTAAACCCTAAACCCCTCTTTTCGTAAACCCCCAAATCCTTGTCGGAGTGCTCCTTCAGGTGAACGGCCACCGCTACGACGCGGGGAAGGCCTCAGAAGAGGGACGATGCACAATCCCTCCCTTCTTTCCTCTACAGGGTGGGGCCCCCTAGCTATAAGTAGAGTTATAAGAGCCCTTAATTGGGTTATAAGGATCCTAAACTAGATTCTAAGTCCCTTAACTACAGTTAGTATAGTAAGGGGGCCCCTCCTTGTAGAGCTGAGGGCTTATGGCTATGTAGGGGTTAGGGTTCAGGGTTTAGGGTTTAGGGTTTAAGGGTTAGGGTTTCGGGCTTCTAGGGTTTACCTTGGGTTTCGGTCTCATAGGTCAGCTTAAGTGGAGGTTTAGCATGTTGGGCTCAGGGCTTGAGAGCCCCAAGCTGTGGGCTATTGCAAAGTAAGTTTTGCGGCTTACAAAATGCTTCATAAGCCCCGAAACCCTCAACCCTCACAACCCCCGAAACCCTAAACCCTAAGTCCGACAGCTTAACGAAAAGGAGCTTGTTATAGGGCTGATCAGGCCTTCTCACAGGCTTGCGCGGACAAGATGGTCGTGTTGACCCAAGCACTAGGTGGGATTTGGTTTCGGGTTTGGGTTGTCGGGCTTAGGGTTATCCCACAACGACCCTAAACCCTAAACCCTAAACCCTTATTGTCATAAACCCATATCTGCTTACATCTTGCAGCACGCGTAGTTCCACGATGTCTCAAGCCTAGTGGCTGCGCGTCCGCGAATGTGAGAAGGCCACAGGCAGTTTTGGCTTGAGGGTGATGATGTATGTACTTCGGGTTTGAATGAGTCCCTACTTAGAGAAGATCTGCTACCACAGTCCCATACGAAGGCACAGCAGGACCATAGGACCAAAGCCGTTCTTGGGATTGCTCTAGGCCACAAGGCAGGATCAACACTTTCCAGTGCAAGGGCTCAGGCTTGGGTTTCTAGAGCTTGCGGGTATTTACACGTGCAGGGTTCAGGGTTTAGGGATGCAGAGGGTTTAGGGCCCAGGGTTTAGGGTTGTTTAGGGCTTAGGGATCTACAGGGTTTATAACAAGGATCCAGAGGGTGTGGAATAGGGATCAATGGGAGATGAAGCTACATCTACCACGTCACTGGAGGTCAGCCCATGCTTTGTCTGCAACCAGCAGGCCAGGTACAAGCTGATGTGCCAGAGCCCTGGTTGTCAGAAGTTCCGCGGCCAGATCTACATCTGTGGCGGCTGCGCAACCTTCTGCCCAACATGCCAAGTTCGCTTGGAACCGGCAAACTTGTCCACCGCCTCGGGTCCTTTGACCCTGCGATCTTTCAGCTCGCTGCAGAGCAAAGGGAAGGCCAAGGGAGCCCCGGACGCCGACGCACCGAACGACGCCGGCCGTGAGGGCAAGCAAAATGGCAAGGGACATGTGGCGATGCACAGCTCCGGGAAAGGTTCAGGCAAGACTTCTCGGAGCAAAGGCCAGCCAAGGACGCCGGTCGGAGTGGGAGATGTTGAGCGGGTGGTGTCAGTAGCTGGCAATGCCATCGGGGCCATCATCGGGCAACATGGCAGCCAGCTGAATGGATTGAAGTCGTCCTATCCGAGCCTTCGGATCTCCATCAGGCGCGGGGACACGGAAGACACATTCGTGGGCCGACGCGCTCATCAGATGGAGCTCGTCATCCGCGGTCAGAAAGACTTGGTCGATGAGGTCGAGCGCACGGCTCCTTGAAAACCACATGAGCTTGTTTGGAGTTTTTGAGGGGTTTGGGCCTCAGGCTTTCGTGGTCTGTGGAAGCATAGAAGAGTGGGGTAATCATGCGATCCCAACCTTAGGCTGCAATGGGTTTTTCGAATTAGGGGTACCTTATTGGGGTCGTTACTATACGGTGTACTAGGGCTTCCTGATTCTCGTAAACCCCCGCATGTACCCTCTAAGGTCCGGCTGCTGATCGATCGTGCAGGGGCATCACACAAGCCTCCCCACACCAAGAATATGCTGATCGATGCCCCGCATTCCTTTGCCGTGAAGCTGGTGCTTGCGGATATCGACGCGTACCATGTCTGCCCCAAACAGATGAGGCAGACTGCAGCAGGCGGGCGTGGGCGATCGTACTATGCTTTAGAGAGGGTCGGGGACCATGCTACGCAGCAGCAGTCCGACGGCATCAGCACGTACGCCTATTGCCCCGACAAGTTTGACTGGAGCCACATGTACCCAGAGTTCCAGCGATGTGTGAATGAGGTGTCGGAGGAAGCGCTCTCTGTGGCCAGGGTGTCAGTTCTCTTTGGCCAGCTGTTCTTTTGGGGCCCCAAACTGGACAAGGAAGCTTCGCAGAGACCCGGGGCTCTGGAGAAGCTGAACTTCCAGGATTGCCGCCGACAGTGGGCTGCTCGCTTGAAGAGTTCCGTCAAGAAGAAGATGTCTCAGGTGTTGGGAAGGAGCTCCTTCACCCTCTCTCAGAGGGTGACGAACATTACGTATTACGTCAAGACGGAGGAGGATGGGGCGAAGTTGGAAGTCACCTTCTTCGATCCACAGTGCTCACACGCAAAGGCAGCTGAGATGAAGCGCATCTGGGAATGTACATCCCATCTGGAGGTGCTGAAGGTACCAGAGGGGCAAGAGCATTCACGAAGTCGTGTTGAGACCGCCAGAAGAATGCTGGAGCTGTACCTGCGTCCTGCGCACAATGAGTTTGAGGGTTGCTGGTGCGCGAGGGACATCATCGCGCGCTCCGCCGAAGGTCTGCTGTCAGACAGCGAATTCCGCACCCGGGATGCAGCAGAATTACTCGTTTAACGCATCAATCAATTGTAATGGGTTACCCTAAACCCGAAACCCTAAACCCTAAACCCTATAATATATTGGGTGACGCAGTACCCTGAACCTCCAAGCAAGGACCACCACCGGTGCCTCTCCAAGAAGCCCTGCGCATGAGAGCTCCATACCGACAGGCCGATGGTTTAGGGTTTCGGGTTTAGGGTTCCGGGTTTAGGATTTAGGGTTAGGGTTTACCCGAGCGGTCCACTACCACAGTATGATATTCTTGGGCCCCAAAGTCCCTAGCACTGTAAGGCCCAAGTACTCCACATTTAGGTACATGGACCCTTGGTTTAGAGTTTAGGGGTTTAGGGTAGTTTAGACCTTACAGCGTTTGTCCGGAACAACTTAGCCTCGCCCCATTGACTGTTTCCGCTGCCCACATGGGACCGCGGTCCATAGACCCCAAACCCTAAAGCACCAAAGGCCCCAAACCCCCAAGCCCGCAAGTCCTAAACCGTAGAAGCGCAGCGTATAAGCCCCAAACCCTAAAGCACCAGACCCTAAACCCAAAGCCCCTAAGCCCCGAAGTCCCAATCCGAAAGTCAACTGTTTTATAAACACAGTTGGAGCATAGCTTAGAGAACTATCCAGTGAAGCTCGATGATTGCTGAGTATAGGTGCCTTGTCCAGAATCCGATGGCCCAGTTCGCGCTGGCTCCTTACCTCAATTCACCTCTGTCCTTGGGATGGACCGGTATTTCGGATCTCAATGAACCCGAAACACAAACCCAAAGCCCTAATTCCTAGAAGCCCCGAAACCCCAAAAGTCGGGAACCCTAAGCCTTAAACCGTTAAACCTTGAGCCCTAAACCTTGTCCTCGCCGCGTTGAGGATATCAGGCCTTCGTTGCGAAGAGAGAGAGCGAGCGGCTCTTCCAAGGTGATGTGTGCCTTGGGGCTTAGTATTTAGGGTTTAGGGTTTCAGGTCTAGGGTTTAGGGTTTAGGGTATAGGGTTTAGGGTTACTTTTGGTTTTTTTCTGCCCTGTCAACCGTTGAGTTAGTGAAGCCAGGTGCCGCCTTGGGCGTTCTCCCGACTTCCGCCTCTCAGTCAAGGCGGGTAGGGAAGTCGAGCTTCCTGAAGGCCACCAGGCCTGCATTAAGGAAGGGTTTAGGGTTTAGGGTTCAGGGGTTCAGGGGTTAGGGTTTAGGGTTTAGGGTTAGGGTTTAGTAGCTGAGTGAGCGCACTTTACACTTTCTGGGATGCTATAATCCCCTATAAAACTGAAAGTGTACACTTTTTAGGGGCTTATGAACTCAGCAACTAAGTAGTGACCTTAGAGGTTATTATGAAAAGGGACCATCGTCGTTCTGTTAGTTCCGAGAATGGTTCCCCGAACGGCTGAGGTCTGGTCATTGCCTTGACAAGCCTGGACACCGACTGCCGCAGATCACTGCAAGACGCGAAGAAGCTGATCCTAGGACCTGGAGTAGGCCCATTTTTCCTTTTTGTTGGGGGTTCCATTATCATCCCCTGAAACCCAACAAGGGTACCCTGTTTATTCCTAGGTTGCTGCCGGGTCTAGGATCGAGACCTTTCGCAGCAGCCCTCTACCACTCGGCTGGAAGCTGCAGTGCGTGGCGTGTAGGGACGAAGAGGTGTGGGTGGATCCTGATGAGACTGTTGAAGTGGATGTGTCTAAAGTGTCGGAAGTGACCAGCTTAAGCGACGCGAAGGAGCAGTCGGGCTCTGACAACTATGAGATTCGCTTCTCCTCAGAACAAGCCAGCCAGGCTGTTCGAGGAAGGCAAGAATCTGCTTGGGAGCACGTTACCAATCTTCTCTCGACTGTACAGATGTTTCACGAGTCACTTTAGTGGAGCAGTTAGCAGAAGCATCCTCCTCAACCCTAAGACACTGAACTCCTATCAAACCCTAAACCCTCAGCCCTGTACCCCCTTATGAGCCCCCTAGCAGCTTGATGCATCCTACAAGCCCCACGCGCAAACTCCAAGCCCTTTTCTGTCAGGGTACTTTTGCAAAAGCTGGGGCGAGGGGGTAACTCGGAGAAGGATTATCGTACATTGAGGCATTATTGCCGGGATCCTTAGTTTGGGACATGCCCCAACAGCCTACATCTTGAAGATGCTTTCGACGGAAGAACAAACAAGAAGTTCGCATGACAGGCAAGCAGAGATGCACTTGCTGGACAGTTTAGGGTTAGGGTTTAGGGTTTAGGGTTTAGGATTTAGGGTTTTGGGTTTAGGGTGTACCGGCCCTGCAACCTCAACCTCAACCCCCTTAAACCCTAACCCCCAAACACAGTGGCGCCTGGAGCTGACGTATGGCCCAGACCCTCACCCTGAAGGGTTTAGGGCTTAGGGTTTAGGGTTGAGGCCCTAAACCCTAAACTTTCTGGACTTCTGCGAGTCTTAAGCCCTGAGCCCCAGTAAGCCGAAGATCTGCGCCCTATAAACCCTGTAAAGCCGGGACCCTGAACCCCATGCAGGCCCTTGGGATATTTGCTATTTTCCTTTGTTGGGTTCAAACCCTAAACCGTAAACCGCTAAGCCCTAAACTCTAAACCCTAAACCCTAAACCCTAATCCCATTTTGGGGAGGTGTGTAAGGGCAATCCTAGAACCCCTACGTTGTATCCCCGACACTCCTTCGGTGCCGCATTTGGCAGCAGCTCAGCTGCGTGTTTAGGGTTCAAACTGAACCCTAAACCCAAAACGCTAAGCGCCAAACCCGTCGTAAAAAAGATCCATCGGACTACTCCAGAAACGCTCGTTTCCCACACCTGGGGGCTAAGGCTTTAGGTTTGAGGGGCCTGAACCCAACACCTTGCCTCATAACCCTACCCTGAACTCTTAACCCTCCAAGCTCTTGGCTCTAAACCCTCAACCCTCAGCCTTCTACCCTAAGTCCTGAACCCTGAACCCTAAACCCTAAACCCCAAACCCCAAACCCTAAACCCTAAACCCCAAACCCTAAACCCCATACCCTAAACCCCTAAACCCCTAAACCCCTAAACCCCCAAACCCCAAACCCCAAACCCCAAACCCCTAAACCCCTAAACCCCTAAACCCCTAAACCCCTAAGCCCCTAAACCCCTAAACCCCTAAACCCCTAAACCCCTAAACCCTAAACCCTAAACCCTAGCCCTAAACCCTAAACCCCAAACCCCAAACCCCAAACCCCAAACCCTAAACCCTAAACCCCAAGCCCCAAAACCCCAAACCCTACCCTGTAGACGATCAGGGGGCGCGCTACACCATCTCCAGCACGCGGTCCGGCAGCGTCGGCGGCCTTCAGCTACCTGCGCAGCTTGGGCTTTTTAGGGTTTAGGGTTTAGGGTTTAGGGTTTAGGGTTTAGGGTTTAGGGTTTAGGGTTTAGGGTTTAGGGTTTAGGGCTTGGCCTTTAGGGTGTTCAAGTTCGTAGGGTTTCTAGGGTTTTAGGTTTTTCATAGGGTTTAGGGTTTCAGGTTTAGGTGTTAGGGTTCAGGGTTTAGGGTTTAGGGTTCTGGGTTTCGGATTTAGGGTTTAGGAGTTAATGTAAGTTTGGGGATTCGGGTTTAGGGTTTAGGATTGAGGGTTTTGGGGTTCGGGTTAGGGTTTAGGGTTTCGAGTTCAACTTTCAGGTTTGGGGGGTCAGGGCTTTTTTTGGGTCTCATAGGTTTAATCGGGTTCAATAGGGTTCAAAAGGGTTCAATAGGTTTTAATAAGGCTTAGGGTTTAGGGCTTTTGGGGTTTAATGGGGTTAAACAGGGTTCAAATATTAGGCTTTGGGGTTTTTTAGGGTTTTGGGCTTCAGGACTTCTAATTATAGGTTTAATGGGTCCAGGTATGGTTTTGGGGGCTTAGGGGTTTAGGGATTAGGGTTTAGAGGTTTAGGGTGTCGGGTTTAGGGGTCTTGGGTTTAGTGACTTTACTGCGGGTGGCGAAGGCTTAGGAGTTCTAGCTGGCGAGGGCCTTGTGGGGGGGGGGGGGGGGGGGGGGTGCGACCCTAAACCCCAAACCCTTAAACCCCACTAAACGTTGTCATGCCCACGTTCGCGAGGCGCAGACCGCAAGACGCCTAACACCCTATAAAAGCTTAGCCCCCTTCCCCAAACCCCAAAACCTACCCAGAGACTCCAAAACCCAGGGGTTTAGGGTTTAAGGGAATATCCCTTAAATTATAATAGGAACCCTAGTATGATTCAAGGTATATTCCTTAGTTAAGGGCCCCCCCCAAGCCGTGTTAGGTTTCGGGTTTGGAGTTTGCCGCCGGATTTATGGGCTTGGTATTTACGGCGGGATCTTGCTGTCCCCCCCCCCCCCCAACCCCTTGGCGCCCCTCCCTAAACCCTACAATGAAACTCTCGGCTCTTGCTTTCAGAGACGAGGGCTCCGGGTTTTTGAGTTCACCCTAAACCCTAGACCCCCTAAACCCTATACATCCTGGACCTGGACCCACACCAGTTGAGTCTAGGGTTTAGGGTTTAGGGCTGAGGGTTTTGGGGTGGTTGACAGCTGGCAGTTGCGGGATGAGGGCTGGGCTTATAGTTTTAGGCTGGACAGCCCAAGGTTGAGGTTTCAGGGTTTAGGTTTAGGGTTTAGGATGTAGGGTGTAGGGTTTAGGGTTTAGGGTTTAGGATGTAGGGTTTAGGGTTTAGGGTTTAGGGTTTGTGCTCGGGAAGGCCTCTTGACGGCAGCGTTGTGCCATCAACGTCCTCTCCCGGCTCAACAACTGAGCGCCGCAACCGCACCACAGTATTCATATCGGGTTTAGGGTTTAGGGTTTAGGGTTTAGGGTTTAGGGTTTAGGGTTTAGGGTTTAGGGTTTTAGGGTTTAGGGCTATTGCCCATAGGCCAAAGCAATCGAGGGTTTAAGGTTTGCGGTTTAGGAAGTCAGGGTGTAGGCAGCCATGAATGTGGCTCCTGGTATTGATTTAGAGCTTCAAACATGTACTACTCTGTATAGGGTTCACGTAGTCCTGACAGCACGGGCTCAGGTGCTGCATGGCGAACAGGGTTTGGTATTGAGGTTTGAGGGGTTTAGGGGTGTATGGAGCTATGTTCAGGGAATTTGTTTAATCAGCCTTTTGGGTTTAGCATTTAGACGGACATACCCCGCGTCCCAAGCTCGACAGTGTCCTGGGATCTACGGACCAGACACCCTAAGCCCAAACCCTAGCCCTAAACCCTAAACCCTACACCCGAATAATTGAAACCCGAGGTGGTCTCGCACAACGGAGGGTGTGACAACGACGAGAGATGTCAGCATGTGCACGGTTCAGTATGGAGGCCGCGGGTTAGGGTTTAGGCTTGAGGGTTTAGGGTGGTTTAGGCTTTGGGGTTTAGGGTTGAGGGGGTTTGGGGTTCCGTTGTTTTTTTTCTGAGAGGAGGGGGGGTGGGGTTTACATCTTCGGGTTCCGAATTTTGTTTGTTAGGTCTGTCTAATCCCTAAACCCTAAACCCTGACAGGGGTTCGTGTTTAGGGTGCCGGGCTGTATATAAATCGCCGGGGCCCAAGAAATCGCAACAGCGGGACCTCATGTCACGAGCTCTTCCGCCTAACCCCAAAGTTCTAAACCAAAAGAACCCTAAACCCTAAGCCCTAGACCCTAAACCTTGCACCCTAAACCTTAAGCCCGAAGCCCTAAACCCTAAACCCCAACCCCAAACTCGATACCTTAAACCCGAAAAACGTCGCAGTAGCCAAGCCCGGTGGTTCCTGAAACTCGAGGTTGGAGCAACTTGCATTCGGGTTAATAAAGTAAGTAAATGGGGTGTGTACTAAATTCGGTCTAGGGTCTATGTAGAGATACTTCGGATTTGAAGCAGGGGCCCCCGTTTTTGGAGACCCTTTTGTGAGCCGGCATTCCAGAAGGCGAACAGTGTGGTCTGGTGTAGAAGCACCATGCCGCCCAGGTATCTGAGTGCATTCTTGGACCCCTCTAAAATCTGAACCCTTCAAGTCTTCAAGCCTCCAACAAGCATGTTAATCAGGGTTTAGGGTGCCCCAGCCCTAAACCCTAAACCCTAAACCCTAGCCCTAAACCCTAAACCATCAACTGAAAGCTTAAGAAGCCTTTAAATCACCCCCCCCCCCCCCCCCCCCCAAATCCACATACTCCAAAAGCCCAAACCCCACACCTGTGCGCTACAGGATGCCTTTCGCTTCTCGGCGCCGCACAGACGTGCCCCAAAAAACGCCGAATTCCTAAGGGGGGCTTTCAGGGTTTTTAGGGCTTAGAGTTTAATATTGTACCACGCCGAATTCCTAAGGGGGCTTTCAGGGTTTCAGGGTTTTAGGGTTTCAGGGTTCAGGGTTTAGTGTTCAGGGTTTTTGATATAAGGGGTCGGAATAATTTCTAAGAATCTTCCCTTCTGGCCCCTTTAGCAGCGGAGATGCCTGACATCCTGGCAGCCATCCGCAGCAGCCGAATGGAGGTTGTGCTTCTACTAGTTACTAGCCCAAAGAGCCCAATACCCCTTAGTTGAGGAATGTAGCTTAATTTATAGAGGGATCCTTAGTATGATTTAAGGTATATTCCTTAGTTCAGGGGTATTGGGCTCTTTGGGAGAAAGCATGACAATGAAGACTTCGGCACCATGGCTTTGTGCAGTCCTCCTCGGTCGCAGCGTGCGCAACTGAGATTTCCGTACTTCAGGCGGCGCGAAGGGCCTTGTGTCCCTAAGGGTCCATGTACCTATATGGTATATACTTGGCCCCTAAAGCCACTATATAGGAACCCCTTTAAGGCCCAAGTATCTACTATATAGGTACATGGACCTTTTGGGTGTTGTCTTTCACAGGAGGTTTTTGCAGCAAGCGGAAGATTTCGTTCGGCCAGTCCTTTCGAGAAGCGCATCCAGAAGAGACTCGT